AGGAATAGGTGATATTGTAAAACATCATTAACACCCAGAAGCCTGACATCTTCTCAGTGGACCTCCAGTGATCACTGAGTCTATCTGACATTTTATTAAGTAGTAACAACATTCAGATAAGAACAAGAAAAGCAAACTCTTACCCAAATGGAACGCCAAGAGCTCCCAAGGGCGTCACTAGCACAGTTGGGACTGCAGTGTAGGCCAAGAAATTCCCTATTTGACCCAGAGCCACTGTCAAGAGAACCAGAAATAAGCCTTTAAATCCCTTTGTAAAAAGAAGTAATGAAAACTTACCCAATACTGTTTGGGAAAGAATGGAAAACAGATGTTACAGATTTGCTTAGTCCTGTTAATTTTGCACTTATACAAAACTGCTGGAATTTTTCTATATTTTTTTAATTATTTTTTAATATAGGATTTATATTTGCCACACAAGAAGATCCAAGAGTGCACAGTAAATAATCTCATTTGCAACTGCTCTTAGTTGAATATAAATAAGACTATGAATTAGAAACACTCATGGATTACACTCAAATATTCCTATGAGGAGGGCTAAAAGTATATACTACCCACGAGTTCAGCTTTAGAATGTACATACATGTAACATGAATGCCCTTGGTTATAGTTCCTAACAGCAGTGTTACTTTTGGGGCGGGGAAATAAGGGCAGTACTGAGGAAAGGAATCTAATAATGAAATACTAAGCAGGTGCGTAAAGGCTCTTCAATATATAGTAGACTGCATCAGATTTTCACAACACTATATAACGTCAAAAGTAATTCCTGACTGCTGTAAAAAGAACAGATCCCTGACAAGTCACAATAACAGCCTCACAATCTTGTTTTTTTTCTTTCCCCCAATAAAAGCAAATTCCAAGATGTGCCACCCTATTGCACATCACAGCTGTGATAAACAAACAGTTCGTGTGTTCAAGTTTTCAGTTAAAAAAGAAAAGCTGGGTAGTTTTGCAAGTGCTGGCAAGTTCATAATAGGTCAACACGATGCTTGCATAGTTCCAGGGTCTGTGGCAACTGGCAAGAACCTCGAGATTGAGCACAAGTTACATACATCTCAAATTTCCAGTTGATTTTAAGAGCCATTATCAGCATTTAAAAACATTTCTAGAATCCAAACTGTCTTTATGCTCAGGCTGGCATTGCCTTCAACTATCAAATATCATTACCATCATCCAGCTCCTTACATCGGCAAAGCACTGTGCAAACATTAATTAATTTACCAAATTAGCTCACATTATCAGTAGAGCTGAAGACCGGTGTAACCTACAGGAAACACGAAGGAGACAAACAAACTTACAAAAGTGCAGAGTGCGGCAAAATTATACTAAATCAATCCACCGAGGCTTTCTCTACGTGCAGGAGTGAGCCAGAGAAGTTAACGAGCAGCACTTCTAGAGCCCAAGAGTCAGCGATGGTCTCCCTGCCCCTGGGGACAGAGTAACTCAGCTATCAGCCTGGGGCTTGGTTTCCAGCAGATGTATGTGGCAACTCTGGCATTATCTTCAAGGCATCCGAAGGCACTGGGGCAGATCTTGCACGGAGGACAGGGCACAGCTGGCACGCTGTGTTTCTGCAGATTACACACACTTCCAAGTGACTCTGACAGAAGGTTGCTTTTTTTGGAGGTCAGGTGCCTTATCTTTCTCTTGGAAGAACCCTAACAGATGGCACCGACACCGATCCATAAATTAGGTCTCTGAAGCTTCAGTCAAACTGCACATATTGTAAGGCAACTGAACTTACCAGAGATTTTCAGTATCGCCATGGAGTAATAGTAACAGTCTCTTAACCACCACCGACAACAGACCAGGACTAATTAAGACCAATTAAAAAAAGAATCTTGGTAACTGTTAACATCTATCTGGTGTTGAGAACCTTTGCCGCCAATCTATTGAGTCCTCTCTGGATAGAAATTCCTCTCCAGACACATCAATGCTGTAAGTCAAGACACAGTTTCAGTTCTTGAAGGCACACCAAGCTCTAAACTTGCTAAAGGAGTACCGATATCCCCGAAGTTACTGCAACACAAAACTGGACATGCACTGACATGTCTACGTTAGCAAGGAGACCAGGAGTAGATCCGTACAGCAAAAGATGTCTGCCCTACGCATGTCAGGGGTTTTATTTCAGACTAACTTCAGCATGCGCCCACGGAATGGAAATCTGTTTGCAGCTGGTATGCATTAGGCACGTTCTTAGAGTGCATCTTCCAGCCTAGTTTCATCTTAAAGTCCAGTTCAGAAGCTCCAAAACTGCTCCACACACATGAAATAAAGCCCAATCCATGGAGACAAACAGGAGATTCACTTCACAAGTGCATTCCCCATCTGCAATAAAACACTAACACAGATGCATCCACTATAAAAAACAGCCACATCTATGCTGCTAACAAAACCTGCACCGAAACTAATTAATTAGCCAATTAATTAGTTTAATGCTCATTGAAATACCTGTACGCATGCTGCAATCACTCTTTTGACTACAGTGTAAGAAAAAGTCCCTTAGCAGAATCTGTAGCCCTTCCTTTGAAGTCTTCAGTCATCCTGTGGATCCGAAAGCCCCCAAACGGTGAGGCAGTGTTATGCTGAGTCAGCATGCCAACACAGAAATGCTTGTTCACCATCTGAACAAATATTGTGAAAACAAGTTGACAGAGTTTATGTGGGTTTTGTTCATCATCCAAACTCCAAATTCCCTGCTTGAGAAAATGATGTCAGCTGTTACAATTCCACCCAGATAACCGGGGATATTGCTGATTCCCCACACATCGCCTTTCTCTGCATCCCATAGATGCCCACCTGGCCCTTGCTATTGCTGTTTGTGACTCTGTTGCAATTCTGAATCCATAATATCCTTAAGCAATTCTTCCTTTGGTTCCTCCGTAAACTTACCGAGGCTTTGTTTTGCAATACCTGCACCTCGCTGCTGGACAAAAGCCAACTGATACCATTCCCTTCAGCTATTTTGCCTTCGTTCAATTCAGTCAGCTCTTTTAAGCATGAAATTGTTTTCTCCGATTCACCAAGACAAACTCCTGTAATAAAACCTCTCTTATTTTAACTCCTTCTGCTTGGAGATTCAAGACGGGAGCCTCGTGAGGGATAAACAGGAGTGATTAATGCACAGATTTATTGCTACTTAGGCAGCAGTGATCCTGGCAGAGGAGGAAGCTGACAAAGAACTACTTAAACTCAGGTTAAATTAGCTGAGGACTTTCCTCTGAAGCTCTGTTGGCTTCTATACTTGCTGTGAACTTGTCCTTCAACGGATCTATTGGTTTCCATTCCTTTTGCACAGCTTGAAGACAACAAAACCAGAGACCTACCTTGCTGCCACGAAACAAGGGGCACAACTGGACTCCTACAGTTCTCCGAAACAGCATCAGAACATTTCCAAATAATTCACAAAAGGCTGGATTAGAGTCTCAAAGTGGGGTAAGATTTTAAACTCGTGGGTAGAACTAGGGCTGAACTGCAAGAGGAGAAATCTCGCTGCTCCCCACGCTCTGCATTCACAGCAGAGTGAATTTAGCCTGAGCAGAGTTTACAAAGATACTAAGAGTGAAATTACACTGATCTCCTATCAGCACCACACAGGGCTTCACATTAATCTTGTAGATTAAAAGCAAAACTGAAACTGTATCTGTCAAACTAGAAATCAAAAGGGATTTTTTTTTTTTTTCAATTGAGGCTGGCTAAGTGCTTTCTGATCTAAAAAACAACATGTGCTCAATGAGCCCTTTTGTGCAGAGTGACAACTTCTTATTCAGCTTTGGCTTTTATTAAAAACTGAGTGGACCAACGCAATCCAGAGCCGTAAACCGTGCAGGAACCCAGAGTCAGAGCAGCGTGTGGCTGCCAAGGGCTGCAAGTACCAAACGGTTTGGAAATCTGGAAGTATGTTTGGCTTGGGATTGACCCAGCTCTTTGCCTTCTCAAACACCATCAGACACAGAGAGTTTACTAAAGGTGGGATATTTCTGAGGGATGGGAATTTTGTGATAAGCGAGCGTGAGATTCAAGATGAGAACCCAGATTTCGTGATGTCTCATTTCACCATCTAACCGCAACTTCTCCCTTCAAAAAAAAAATAAAAAATCAAACCTTTTAAGATACTTACTTGCAATAGTGCCAGACCACCATACTATATCTGTTAAGTACGAAGTACCTGGAAGAGGAAGTATAGGAAGACGTATTAGAAAAATATGAAATTGCAATATTGGAACTATGAAATAGAATAATTTCAACAGTCTCAAATATTAAGGACCTTCATCTTAACCCTGTTCTTCAAGGCAACTGCGTGGGAGGAAAACAAGAGAGAAGGTGCTCTATTTGCCTTAAGTGTCCAAGTTGGACCTTAAGACAACATATTTGTCAGAAGTTCTGGTTTCCAGTGAAGTACCTATGGGATGTTAACATGGTATTACTTAGAA